GTAAGAAAACATGCCATTGCATTGCAACGTAACAGATATTTATCCCCAACCCCCTGCCCTCATCCCCGAAAATGTGTAACTAAAATGAAGAAAACTCATTTTATTTTAAATTCGCTGCCAAAATAAGTATTTTTATGTAAAATGTAAAAAAGAAAACTCACCATATACATTGAGAGTAAGTCCAGAACTAAAGTTGCTTCCAACAGACCTGTCGTTCAGGTGTCCCTTGCAGTTATATTGTCCTACATGTTTAGCTGAAGCAGAGCGGATGGAAAGAGTAGCTCCATTTGAGTCAAAAGACACAACATTATCCGCTTGGACTACCTGTCTGTGTTTGTACCACGTGTAAATCCAGTTCAGGCTGCCGTCCATCCCACAGCTTAACTTCACACTCTCAGTGGGGAACACATGGAACCACGATGTGATCAGGTTCAAAGATGGAATGGGAATTTCTAAAGAGAGAGAGAGACACATCAGCCACTTTTCATATCCTTAGAGATAACCTTATTTAGATAACCTATTTTTTTAGACAGAGCCTCACTGAATTTGTCTCATGAGAAATGACTGAACAACTAAATCATGTGACATACCAGCAGGCCTTGTCGATCAAAAATCAAATTCGATTATTAAAACTTCAATGTGTGAAGACAGGCCAGCCCACCTTAGCATCCAAGATACATTGATGTTAATGATGTTGACTCAAACCACAATATTCACATGGATTAGATAAGAAATTACAAAAAGCACCGACTTAATCAAGTATTAACATGAGGGAAGCATGGACCAGTCTCTTAACATTTGCAAAACAAAAATGCCTTAAAATACACAACTCTGGACTGAGCTCATAATCAGCAGGTTAGTGAACAAAATGGTGGCATGAGTGAACTTTTAAAAAGGAGTAGTTCTTAATGGTGGTATATTAATGTGTTAGCCAACAATCCGCCCCTTACATAAATCATCATTTCTCTCCGAAAGTGATATTCCACTGCATGTATATATATATATATATACATACTTCTGAGTCTTCCCTCCCTGCATCATGCTACACCACAACATCCTGTTTCAACAGAAAATGCACAAAATAATAGAAGCAGGATGCTCTCAAAATGTTTTGCTAAATTCAACAGCAGCCTGGGAGTTTGTAAGCCTTTAGTGAAAGAATTTTACATATTTACAACAAACAATTGCACATTGTATTAAACACAATGCTTTAAATAATATGACTCTGCTGTCTTTACCTACCAAGTACATCTTGTTGTATTTCTTCACTGAAGTCTGTTGATATTATTTCCCCTCTGGTGGCCTTGCACCAGTATCTCCCCTGATCAGAAAGAGCAAGATGGATGCTGTTGGTTTCGTTGATGGGACGGAGCTCAATTCCATCTTTGTACCACTGATACTTCCAGCCAGACGACACATCTACGTTGCAATTTAAGTTCACGGTTTCTCCAACATACATCGGGTTAAAACCAGGAACCTTGTTCATCGTTGGTTTTGGTACGTTTTCTAAAACAGAAAGGCAGTTCACAACACATTTACAGTTTGGGTTTTGTGAGGTGCTAGTAGGCAGGTTTTGTTAGCTTTGGGGCAGAGCAAGGCTGTGCTAAGCTAACTGGCTGTTAGTGGTATCTTCAAATTTAGCATACAGACATGAGAACGGTATCAATGTGCAAAAAAGCTAATTATCTTGTTTCCCAAACCATTTCTTTAAGAAAGCTGAAATAATGTAAAGTTAATGAAAGCTCACCATAAAGTATGACATTGACTGTGTTGCTGAATCCAGAGCTGACTCCCCTTGATTTCAGGTGAGCTTTGCAGGCATAGCCTCCTTCATAGGCTTGAGTGACCACGGTGACGTTGAGCAATGAGTCGTCTTCCTCCAGGTACATGTCCTCCATGAGCTCCTCCTTGAGCTCTTTTTGATTTCTGTACCAGGTGAACGTCCAGTCAGTGCTGTGGACTTCACATCTGAACTCCACCGTTTCATTTTCAAACACATCTGGCCAGGAACTCAGCAGTTCCAGAGATGGTTTGGGTGGGTCTGAAAAGCCATGAACCAAAGAAATCTTAAATATCTTGGAAGGAATTTAAGATAAAACCCAATTAAAATTACTTACTGCATCAGAAAAGAATGGCAGACAGGAAAACAGACAAGTTTAGTGCATCATTAGTTATTTAAACTTTCGCTTTCACAGATGAATGTACTGTAGACGTGTGCATAAATGCTCATGTATATAGGAATTAATGAAGCGGTTTAATTGGTGGCAAAGTGATGACACAGTTCTCAGGTAAACTTACCAGAGACCTGCAGAACTGTTGTGTCACTCTCCTCTGTGTAGAAGGGGTCTTTGCCTCTCTTGGCTTTGCAGTGGTATTGTCCACTGTTAGGATGATCTATCGATGCTATGGTATAAGTATTATTATTATGAGCTGGAATTTCATCTGTTCCCTTATGGTACCAAAGATAAACCCATCCAGAGGCCACATCAACCTTGCATGTGAAGGTGACAGGCTCTCCAGGGAACATCTTGTCAAAGTTTGAACTTCGGGTCAAAGTGGGTTTGGGCTTGTTTGCTAATCAGAAAGGAGAAAGAAAAATGTACCATTTTAATTATCTTATATTACATGCTGTCTTGAAATTCAGCTCAAATATGGGTGATGAAACTTACCATAAACTGTGAGTTTGACTGAATTACTACTTTTAGTGGTAACACTCTTTGTTTTGTGATGAGCTTCACAGGAATAACTTCCAGAATGTGTCTGTGTTGCTGCTGTGATTGTAAGCTTTGATCCCTCTGGAGACAAAGACACATTTGGATCTGGCTCTTGTAGTTGTTGGGTATTTCTGTACCAGGTGAAGGTCCAGTCAGAGCTGCCAGTGACACTACAACTTAACTCCACTTTCTCAGAAGGGAACACGTCGGACCACTCTGACTGTAGCTGCAGAGATGGTACAGGAGGCTCTGGAAGTGTATTAAAAAATATGATTGGTTATATCATTCAGAAATAACATATTGCTGAAATAGCATGCACATTTAGGTTCATTGGAATCAGGAACACCTTTGGGTTTGGGCAGTTGGTCGACAAGAAATTTGAGTACATCCCCTTCAGTTGAGGGAAATAACATTACATTTACATTTTAAATACAAAACAATCAATCCATTAACTGGGACAATCAATCAGCAAAAAAATATAATCTGCAAATTAATTAATAATGAAAACAACCATTAATGCAGCCCGAAATGATTTGCTGCGGTCCTGTATGAAACCTACAAAAGGACACTCAAACCCAATTAAATTAAAAATCATATCATTTAAATCAAGTTGACATATAGATTAAAATATACCACACTGTCATCCTACAAAAAAAAGTGACAAAAGGCATGCACAAAAATAACACGATTACCTGACAGTAACATGACACAAGAACAGGGACATTAGATGGACGATAGAGTTCAGAAAACATAACCGTGTAAAGCATAAAGTTGGAACTACAGAAAACTGAAACATGAACTTGTACTCATAGGTGTCCAAATGTAGGAAATGCCTGACTCCTGACAACAAAGTACTTCATGTTCCATAAAGTAACTTCTCCTCATGCTTTACTTCCTTTTGTACCTTTTGTTTTTATCTGCCTCAGTAAGGTAATCAACATTTTTACAATGGGTCATTTAATTTACAATCAGAACAGGATAATGCACTAAATTCTAATATTTTAAATATTTTTTTACAAGAAGATGTGAGATATTTTTAATGACATAAAAACATTGTAATGTTTTGTCAGTGTGTCAAACATGTTTCTTACCATCATAGGGATCTTGAGCTGCACAGGCAGTGAAATCTGTCAAAACAAATTACAATAATGTTCAGTGGGAATCGCATTCAAATGTAACTGGAAATATTATTTGTATAACTTACATATCACACTGAAGACCTTGAGAAGCCACATTTTTCATTGACCTGCACATGTAGAGGCTGTGCTGCCGAGTTGAGTCATTTATCTGCTGTGTAGTGAAGTTCAGTAAAGGAAATAGACTTCACACTAGATGGGCGTGCGTGCCAACTTTATTTCTAAGCTCACCTCAGGACAGCAGCTTTCCTGTCTCTGACATCTGCTTTTCTTTCTCGTGAAGCAACAGGAAATGTGTCGGTCAACCACATTCAGATGTTTGTGTTCTCGATATGACTTTAAATTTTGGATTGTTGCTGAACAGTGACAGGGAGGTTTTAGGGAAATGAAACAACGTGCAAGAGCGATAATGTGTTGAAAAGACTTGCAATTGTGTTGAATAGCCTACCAAAAGAATATCAAAAGGTAAAAACTCCAGCAACACTAGTATACAGAACTATATTGTAACAGCAACACATTTGGGCTAGTGAAATAAGGCAAGAAAGAGGTTAAATCGAGATTATCTCAAATTTAAGTCGGTAAACTGATCATTTTTATTTTCATCCGAGACTAAAATAAAAACAAGCAGAACCGAAAACAAAACACCTTGTTAAACTATGAGTTACTATTTTTTCTTCGTGCAGTCTCAGAGTTGACCTGTTTTACCCTGTGGGTGTGTGAAGTGTTATGGGGAACATGATCGAAAGACACTGATCTTTTGTTTTTACACTTCCGTGTAACCAGTTTACTGACCTCAACCGTCACAGCGACATCCTTTTGTCTGCAGCTCAAATTTGCTCTCGACATGCAAATAGAATGAACATTATTCCTACTGAATCACCTTTACACATAAACATTTTAAAATCGAAATGTTTATGCATATTGTCATCAAAATCATCAGTGATCAAGAGTGATTACTTCAGAAGAAAGTAAGTGCTGACGTTTTCATGCCCTCTGTAATAAAGTATGACTTCCTGTAAGGTTGAGCCGGAATGTGTCATAAAGAAACGCCACTCTGCGTCTCTGTCACTGGTTTTGTCTCACAATTCTCACCATAAGGTGTCAGTATAACACAGAAAATCTGATTATTTACGGTCCCGCCTCTGACCCAGGACACCCCGCGTGGGACAAATCCACGGGCGGAAAACTGGCAGGTAAGGACACACCATGTTGAACTGGCATCAACAGCCAAATGGACAGAATAAGGGATTTATAAAGAAGAATCAAAGCTGATTGTAGCTGCCATCTATTGTGAAAGAGCAAGCTGGACACATTTAAGAACCACCTTTCAAGCCTAAGGGTGGTGATGAGTATTCATTAAAGGATCCGTTCACCCAAATTGCACAAACACCACGGAACACTGGTGGTATTTAGTCATGCAGATAGTTTTGGTATAATATGTACAGAGGTTTAAAGATATCTAACACATTCTACCACCTGTATTATTTTTTTGGTAGAATGACACTTGTGTTTCTGTTTATTTTCTTATGTTATTTGTCAATGATTTGAGCAAAACAAACACAAATTCCACTCACAAATATCTAAGAGACAGATATCTTATTGATGAATCCAAAACTATCTGCCTGGCTGAATAACATTTGTTTGTAATCACAATGACAACTTGCAATCTCCTTAAAGCCAGAGCGCAACAGATCAGTCTGCTTGTATTCTATAATGACAAAAACTTGCATCTAAACCCAACATAAACATTTGATCTATCCTAAAACTATGTGTAGCAATGTTTAAAATGTGTGTAAAAATCCACATAACATGTAATAAAATACCATTTTTTATTAAACATCCATACAGTCATTGTAATAGCATGTCCAAGGCTTCACTGTTTTATTGAGTATATACTGTAACAAACAGCATATGGACACAGGCAGAAAGAAAACATTGTAAATATATCCTTACATACATGTCACCAACTTAAATAACATACAACATTTAACAGACGGATGGGTTGGGAGGTGTGGGTTTTCCCTGCGTACTGGGAGGAGTGGGTGAGTCAGGATGGAAATAGATATGGGGATGTTGGTTTGTTGTTCTTTCCCTTTCTTCATTATGTACACACTGCTGCACAGACCCTCACCTCTTCAAACACTGGACAAGATAGGAGAGACAAATGAGGTCATGTGGTGATGAGAATCACTTCAGCCATGAATATGCTGTGAGAGAGTGTGGATTTGTTTGAGGTTTTTTTATGTGCGCACGAGAGAGAGCGAGAGAGATAGAGATAATTTTCCATCAAAGAGTAGCTGGCTCGGTTTCTGCCCTCTTAGCCAATTCTCTCTTCTTCTCAAAGCCCTCCACTCTGGCTGTTGACTTGTGGTAACGTGAGGAGTTTGGCTTTGTGTCAAATCATCTGGAGTAACTTTCAGAAGCTGTGAAGTGACGCTTTGACATCACTGTGCCTTATGGGACAGCATCCAAAAAAACTCACCAGCATGATTATGTCATCTATACGGCGCAGTTTACACTTGGCATGAAAATGCATCTCTAGTAATGTGATCACAAGTGGACAGCTGTAAATACAGGCATGAATGCATCTGAGCACATTGAGGATGCATTAAGATGGGATCACTTGAGCCACACTCAGGCAGGCAGGAATGTGACCCCATTTGCTGTATAGTGTGAACACACACTTGTCCCTGACCCTACTGAAGGTCAGCTTTGTTGTGTGCATGTAGCATATCAAGCATCCTGTTTAGTTGCTGTAAGTCAAACAACTAAGATGACAAATCTAGGCCCTATATTCAAGGTTCAAGGCTTCACTTACAAAATGACCGTTTGTATATCAATTACCTTGAATTCTTGAAGAAAACTTAGTTTTTCTTGCATGTATACAACATCTGTATACAAACTCTCACACAGCTAGTGCAGAATAATCAATGTCTAATTTATCCAGTTGTCTGCTCAGTATTTCCCCAAATTTGCTAAACCCTTACTATAAAATATAACGTCCATAACAACAGTCTCACACTGAGCAGGCGAGCTACTCGTCCGTGTGAGTTTCTCAAATAGTAAGGTTTAAGCAGAGTTGCATGTGTTCTGGAAGTACTGAGCATACAACTGGATACATGAGACTTGGATTATACTGTGCGAATTGTGTGAGTTTGTAAACAAATGTTTTAATATAGCTTTGGTGTTGTTAGACACGGCCCACATTCATGATTTTTTATCTTTTTATTCTTCCTTCACCGTGGAGGCATGCGAGAAAAACCAAGAGTTTTCTTCAAGAGTTCGAGGTAACGGGCTGAGTAATTGGTGAAGCATTCCTTTAAGTACAAAATGACACCACAATCATTTTCTAAGAGTACACCTGAGAGCAAATTCTTAAAGGGGGCATATGTTCATATTCAGGTTCATACTTGTATTTTGGGTTTCTGCGAAAACATGTTTACATTCTTTAAAAGGTGCATAATACGAGATTGGGAGCATTTCGACTGCCTCTCAACAGCTCTCGACATACTAACGGTTACGGTGCTAATAGCGTTAACAGTACAAACCATAGCGAACATGCTGACAAAGCTAACTGTCTACTGTTTTAATGCAGTGAAGGCCAACACAGATTCTAGTCAAGAGCAGTTTATGCTAAGAAGGTAGTCAGTAAGTGGGAGGAGAAAGAAGTTTAGGAGGGGAAGGGAGCTATATGAGAGACCTGCAATCTAAAAAGGTATTAAAGAATCGAATTGGCCCCTCGCTCAAATATTTTGAATGTACAGCAGGGATGAAAGGGATTGTGTTTCACAGTGCCGTAAAAAGAAGCAGTGGTAAGTCTTTCACAGTAAGATAAAACCATTATCATTCCCTCTAAATCTTTTACAACCTTTAACTATTCGGTACATCCCTTTACCAACAACATATTAATCTCTCTAATCATTCTTCCCAGCTTAAATGTCTCCATCTCTTTGTCCCTTCTTTTTTAAAATCTTGCCACCTTCTCTCGTCACTTCACTTATTTTTAAAAATGCTTTAATGAGGCTTCTCTTGTCAGCAGTTGAAATTACACTGTGATTAAATCCTGGCTCTCCGTGAAAGGCTACACCACTTGGGCATTTGAAAAGCTTATATGAAAGTGCCAATACCCAAACTCAAATGCGTCTGCCTAATAGTGAGGGTATAAATAGAAACGTTAACGCTGTAAAAACAGCAAATTTGGTATTTCTATTTGACTGACATTAATCTTTGCCACATTACCACATCCAAAAGCAGGGATGAGGAGGGAGCAGACGTGGGCTGCACAGATGACAAGGCAAGAGGAGGGCAAGAGGGAAGGACAAATGAGCTGTTATTGGTTTTAATGTGATGCTATGAGTTTAAGAACACTGCAATGCATGGCTGGTCAGCAGGCATAAGAGTATTGCCAGTGTGCCAATCTGTATCTCAAACAACTGTGTCAGTATCTTATACATGTGTCAAAGCAGTAATACGCAGTGTTAGTGTTAGTAGCAACACATTGATGGATATTTTGTTCATGAGACAATGGAGAAAGATATATAGCAATGAAATGTGCTTCCACTGGTGACATGTTGAACAATCTCAGGCTGTCTTGCACAGCAGTGGATATGTCTCTCTGTTTCTTACCTCTGGCGTTGGGTGTTGGTTTATTTGCCCTTCTCCTTGCCAGCCTCTGGAAGAATAACCTCTGTCAGGAGAGGAATATACTGTTTAAATATGTTGTTTTAATGGAATAAAGTTCTGGAACATTATTAGTTCAAATGTGTAGACATGAAAGCTGGAATTATCAACTGGGACCAATAACAGGTTCTCCAAATGTCCCAAATGTAAATGATTAGTTTGACATTTTGGTAAAAGCAGCTTATTTGTTTTCATGATAAGAGTTCATGAAAAAATCAATACCACTGCACTTTTCTGTCTGTAAGGTAAATATCAAGCAACAGTCAACAGCTATTTAGCTTAGCTTAGCATACATACTTTAAACGGTGGGAAACAATCCACCTGACTCTGTCCAAAGTAAACAGAATCTTTCAAAAATCAGAATTTTAATCTGTACAGATTAAAAAACAACAACTTGTCAATTGGTGAACTTTGAACGTGCCTCCAATCCTTATGCAAAGCTACCGAGCTGTTAGTTTTAGATTCATATTTAGCACAAAACTTTATCCTCTGTTTGCCTTTAGATACGTACGTTTGACCTGCAGCTTGCAGGAGACCATGGCCTCTCCCTGCTGGTTCTTGGCTCTGCAGGTGTACACACCGCCGTCGAAGGAGCCGGGCTTACGGATCTCCAAAGAGCAAATGCCCTGGGTAGAGATCTGACGAAACTTGGGGTCTTTTCCAATGAACACTTGATTCTTCAACCACTCGATCGTAGGCTGAGAGGACAAGGGGAGACATTTATAAAACAACAGTATACCTCAAATATACCTTCCCTGTTTCGTCGAAGTGCCACTCCAAAATCCATATTGGCAGCTGAGCTGATTTTTTAAAACATCAGCAGTGATATAGAGTGAACTTTTGATTTTCAGGGTCACTTTCCAGTGCAAAGGTGTAAAATATGACATGGCACATTTCATGAGAATTTTATCAAGTATATCATTTAAGTATTAACTTCAGAAATTTACAAAACAAGCATTTTTAAAGCTCTGAGTTCTGACTATTGGTGTCATTGAACAGTTTTAGCTTCTGGCACACCTCTTTCTTTTTGAGCTGTGGTCTCTAAAGTGATATCTATTTACCATTACAACATTGACTTTCAGTCTTTGTCGCATTGGACATCCAAATTGCTTGTCCTCCTGTAAACTCAGACAGTCTGTGCTGAGTGTGACAGTTGGGTAGAATGGGAGTAATACAAGACTCAGGTATGTGCTGCTCTGGGCTTCAGTGACACTCTCCCTGCATGGATTTCCCTATGGTCCGGCTTCTTGAAGGTGACTCTGGTTATTGGATTTCAGCTCAGCTGAGTCATTTCAGAAGGGTTTGAACAACACTTCATCACCGATGTATGAAACAGATTTAGTTCTGTGTCGCTGCTTTCGTCAAGTTTTCTAAATAGATCTTTCTTCTATTTTAGAAAGTTTGTGAACTGGCATTTGACCATAGATGGTAAAGAAGGTCAAACATGTATGTATGTTATTCTCTGATGAAATAACAACTAGAAACTGTTTCTAGATCCACAGATTAATAATAATTTAACTGACTTCTGTAAAATGATTTTGCATGTTTGATATTGTTATGCAAGCACCAGGATGTGTAGGTGCAGGGTCTAACATCTGAAAGGATTTGATTTGAAAGTTGAACTTTAACTTTAACTGGGCAAACACTGTAAAGTGTAAACTAATGTAATCTATTAAATCTTCCCCATCTCCATTGCCCTTCCTTTCTCTCTTTCCTGTCCCATCCCATTTCTGTCTTTGGGCATCTATGTGTGGGGATCTTACAGGGATACCCAGTCACACCGATAACTTTGCTGCTGGCAAAAATAGCACCTTCTGTTGAAGCCTCGTCTCCACTTAGCCATGACAGGACAGCAGACTACACTTCTTATCATTGTCTCTTCTTTGCCTTCCCTGCTTATCTCGCTATTCCTCTCTAACAGCTACCCATGTAGTCTCTGCCACTGTATGTGACAGCTCTTTATCAGACACAGCAGGACAACTTATCACACTGAAGGCTTTTATGCTGGACCTCACTCAGCAGTCCTCAATGACTCTGGACTCTCAGCCAGAGCCCATAAATACACACATGCTCCAACACAAATGCCCAGTGTGAAATAATTTAATTTATAAGAGTTATGAAGAGAGAAAGAGATCAACAAAAAGCAAGAGATAGAGGAATTGTTCTGGGAATTGCCCTATATCTACTGGTACTAGTCCCTCTTCACTTGAGTCCTACATTAGCTCCTGTTTGATTTGTCTCCAATACACTGGCATGTGCAGACTGTTCAACCGCTGCTGTCCTTGCCGACTAGTCAAGGACAGCTAGGACGCATAATCAGCTGCATTTCCACCACGGCCTGCCACCTAAGCCGTCTGCGTCAGCCAGACAACTGTAAAGATATGTTTAACCAGAGCAGCAGTCGACCAGCATAGTGAGAGACATACTGAAACTTCACAGAGACATTCCAGTGCAAGCCCTGCCCCACTTCAACAGTGGATGTTTATAGCAGTGACATTAATACCTTATTTGAAGCAGTGTATCACACCCTTAAATGATTTATCAAGGGCCCTTAGGAAAATAAAAGGTAGGCATAATAGGAACACTATTGTGATTCTGGACACAATACACCGATAAGATATATATCATAGGTGGTGAAAACATGAGCACAAACCTGAAAACAGGGTGATGGGCATGACACACTTCTATGCTAAGTGCAGTGTGTGTATGAACAGTTGTATAGTTATATATTTTTTTTATTATTATTATTATATAAAGTGTATAGCTAAGAGTGTCTGACCTTGGGGCATCCACGGACAGAGCACAGCAGCTTGGTGGTGTATCCCACAGTGGCAGTGCGGTTAGTGAGGGGTGTTGTGAACCTGGGTGCCTCGCTGAAGTCACGCTCCGGGTACTCGGGAGGCTTGTAGACAATACCTGTGGACACATGGAACAAGATCTCATGCAGAACTTCTTCTTCTTCTTACAATACGTGTCTGTACTTATTCAAGGGATAGAAAAATATTGACAGCACAGGACAGTTAATTGTGTCTGAAATTATGTAACTTTTGCTGCACAGCGTCGACTGTGGCTACAAGTGGCAGTTTGGTGAAAGTTCACAGAAAAAGATCTTTCACTTTCCCTCTCCCTTTCTTTCTGTTGGGAATTCTTTCTATTTTCTCACTACAATCTACTCCGTCACTTCCCACGCTGTCAAAATCCCTTTCATTCATAATTCTGACATCACAATATCTGCCCAGTAATCTTTCATTCATTGTTCACATTTGAAGGAGTGAGGCCGGCCTTCACCGAAGTGTGGGAGACATTTAAATACGGGCACAACGGCACACATTTTCAGTCGGTCTCTCTTAGGAAGCTTTCATAGTGTTAGTGTGATAGTGTTGCATTTGGCTGTTCACATGAGAAATGACAACAGTTGTGTCAAGAATGAAAAGGGACAGAGCGAGAAGGTAGGCATACTGTATAAACACACACGAACGCGCGCACACACACACACACACACACACACACACACACACACACACACACACACACACACACACACAAAGAGAAACATTTGCCCTGCCAGCTGTCTTAATGCTGTCAAAGCCTCTTTAAAATGATTTCAGTAGCTGAGCACTAGCCAAGAGAGCTACCCATTTAAGATTGAAGCAGTGCCAAAGCCATTTCCACTCCTCAAGTCCTAGCTTTATAAACACATTCAAGACTTTCATACACTTCATGCAGCTCATTAAAGTATAAGTAGTACACACTTGTAGAGCAGCACTGCCAATAAACGCTCCATCATAATAAACACATTGACCTTAGAAGAATTAAGGAATTAATCAAGAAGATCACCTGTCTTATGGATGGTGGCCACCCCCTTGGTGACAGCGCTCATCTCACTGATGCCCACTTGGTTCTCAGCGAACACTCTGAAGGAGTACGAGTTGCCCATGATGAGGTCTGTGATGGTGGCAGTGAGCCTGTGGTGGTGCACCAGCACCGAGAACCATTCCTGTCGGTGGAGACACAACAGACGAATAGAAAACTATCTAGAAAGCGATAGAGTGTTAGTAATATGTACGTATGTCCTCGCCTACAAATGTAGCCTTGTAGGTTCTGTTCTGGTAGTTGTTAAATGTGTTCAATGTTCCCTGGCAGTGGTATCCACTCACATCTCTGCCAGTTTGCCTCCAGAACCATGAGTCACAACTTTAAAAAGACGTATTGGTATTTTGATAGACTCTTTAGTAAATCCCAAGAAAATAGAGACATGGCAATCTCATCCAGACCATCTGATTAGAGAAGATTTTATCTATATTGTAACTGGGAGAAAGGCGTTGGGGAGAGTTTGATGTTCAAATACAGCGTTTAGATCAAAGAAGATCCATGTCAGAGTCTAAACTCAAAGTTTGTATGTAAATTAAGTGTAAGTGTAATTATTCCCAGTATTCCCAGTCAATGAAGTGACATCACTAATATACAAATACAATATTCTAAATTGGCTCAGAAGCTATGCCATAGCTGACACGAGAGACATGAGATCCCACGTGGAAACTACAAGACCTCTAATTGGTCGGCATGTAGTACTTGTGTTTCCAATTTTCAGATGTCCGTAGATGTTGTTCAGAGTGAATACAACAAGTTTAAAAACACTGCAAATCACTCTGACAATGTGATTGGCCTAGTATACATCTGCCATACCCCGGTCTTCCTGTCGGCCTTCTGGATGGTGTATCCAGTGATCTCTGTGTTGCCATTATCCTTGGGAGGGGTCCATTCAAGAGCAGCGTTGAAGTCCCAGGTGTCCAACAGCTTCACATTGGCAGGACTGCCAGGCCGGTCTGAGGAGACACATTACTGTAAGTATTTATAAAGGATTAAAAGCATGACCAGTGTTTTCCTCACGGCACAAACGGTGTCTGCGCCCAGGATCAAAAGTGAGCTTTGTATGGTAATGCCTCTAACATGAGGCCACACATTTTAACAGTAGCAGCTGACAGCAGGGTCAACGGTCATCATTGTTAGAGGTGTGATGCATGCTGGCTAGTGATTAGAATTTCTGCTGGAGCAAGTCACGAGCCTCAGAACCTACAAGTCAACAAGCCAGCTGCACAACCAGCTGAGCCGATTCAACAGATAGGTCTGAAATAAGTCCACATTCACACCTGTCGCACACAAACATATGGATCCATGTGTGTTACTGGTGTGTAAACATAAGCACGTGCGACTCACCCACAATTTGAAGGGTGATGGTGGCTTTGTCCTCAAAGCTGTCCACCTTAACGCTAATCTCATAAACACCAGAGTCCTCCCTCTGAGCGTGGCGGATAAATATGATGGTGTCCTTGTCACTGTTCCTGATGTTGACCCTTGTATCCACAAGCTGACCGTCCTTACGCCAGGACACCACAGGTTTGGGCTTTCCCTGACGAGTTGCAAAAAGGAGAGACAAGAGATGAGAAGATGCAAGGTGAAGCGTGATGACTGTAAAGTCGTCTGTGCCAACTGCACATTTTATTCATGAACTATACAGACTGAGTATACGTGCAGCTTACATGAAAGGGGATGGCCAGGTTGATCTGATCTCCAACCTGCTTGACATAGCAGGATTTGAGATTGCGGGGAATGCGGACCCTGGGACGCTCTGAAAAACAAGAATTAAAGTCAGCCGTGTTTATCTTCTATCTTGGCTATTTTTTTTATACGGACATAACCTGGAGACCTTCGTGAACAAATCCCCCACTTGACAACGTTTTCTAGCATTACCAGCAGCCAGCAGTGTACAAACTTACCATTTGTATCTTCAAAGTGGGGTTATGTACAGTATGCTCAAAAGGACAGGTCAACAAGACCTAAATCAGGGGTCTCAAACTCATCTTCACTCTGGCCCACATCAGCATCCCGGTCGCCCTCAAAGGGCCGGTTGTAAATGTACTCCTAACATATTGGCAAATAACTGTCTCTGCATTTGATTATTGTTTATTCAAGTGTAACAATATTGTACATGCAGTTATATAAATGTAAAAATATATTTAAGCACATTTCTGTTATTATAACTTAAATCCTTTTAATTTAGGGTTAAGAAACCCACATTACTCTATCAAAGATCAAACTATTAGAGAAAATAGCAAAGACAAATATCAAACACAAGTTATTACAATAACTTTGTTCAAAGCTTAAAATCCTTTCAAGGGTGCGTTTGCACGGTCCCACGTGAAGTATTTCATGTGTCTTAAAGCCACGTTTAAAGTAGTCACAATACATTTCCATTTCAAGTGTACAGTAACCAGCCAAAGAGCTGCTTCTATGACTGTGTGTAAGTATCTCATAACTTCGACTTTCTATCTCAGAATTTTGACTTTCTATCTCAGAATTATGACTTTCTATCATAGTTATGACTTTATATCTCATAATTTCGACTTTCTATCTCATAATTTCAACTTTCTATCTCATAATTTCGACTTTCTATCTCAGAATTTCGACTTTCTATCTCATAATTTTGACTTTCTATCTCATAATTTCGACTTTCTATCTCAGAATTATGACTTTCTATCATAGTTATGACTTTCTATCTCATAATTTCGACTACAGGGATATTTTTATTATCAAGTCAAATTTTTATTTTTTTTGCTGGTGGATTCGTGGGCCACATAAAATGACGTGGCGGGCCGGATTCGGCCCGCGGGCCTTGAGTTTGAGACCCCTGACCTAAATAGAGCGGCCAGCAGCAAGCTGACAAGAGAACATGACTGAAGGAGCTCAAATTAACACCCAAGTTAGTTCAGACGGACCAACGATCCAAACTTATCACAAAATTCTATTTTAATACTTTTGATATTAAACTTTTTTGTATGAATATTTTCTTTCATATCAGTCTTTTATAAAGGATGATGATTATAATTTATTAGGGGGAGCTGCAAGAATTAGTTGATTAATCAACAGAAAATTAATCTGCAACTATTTCGACAATCGATTTATTGTTTCATTCAAGAAAAAATGCCAAACATTCTCTGGTTTGAGCTTTTAAAATAGGACAATTTGCTGCTTTTCTTTGCCATATAATTATATATTAAATATCTTCTGGATTCGACAAATAAAGCTTATTGAAGACATCACTGTGGGCTCTGAGAAATTCTAAATAACCATATTAAACAATTCACCGATAATCAAAATAATCAATTTATCATACTTACACAAAGACAAAAAGACGTATAAAGAACAGAATATTAGATACCATACACATGCAAAAATACTAAACAAACAAAACATTTGCCATTCATCTTTCAAACAACAAACAACACTCCACTAAAAGTTCACCATCTGTGTGGTTATCAAAGTCAAAAATAAATCCATGTCACAGTCTTATCGATGACTACGAGTAGTCATTCATAGGAAATCTAGCTAAAGAAAGAGGAAAAGTACAGTATCTGGGCAGAGAGGCCAAACAGGAAGACCCTGCATCCCACAGCTCTTAAAATAGCTTTGGTGATGAGACACTTGGATAAATGTGTCCCCATACATGTGTTCCCTCCTGTAATGCACAAAGAAGCAGCAGGAAGCTGTCACCACTTTTTTAAAACGAATTGGAGGGGTCAAACATCACATGTAGAAACCATTAAGTACAACAGATCGGAAACTAAAGACACCTAAATCAATAGCGATAACTGCTTGTATGCTCGAGCTGTGGATAAAATGATATGGATGAAATTGCACCGCAGTTGGGACTTGAGTCATTTAATTAACCCTCTATGTTGGATGGCTGGGTGCTAAATATCAGGAACAGCATACCTTGCATGTTTCTGCAGAAGCAGCAAATGTCTGAAAAGCTCTTCGAGCTTACAGGATACATCAAACCTGCTGCCTTCCATCACCTCTCTCTCCTTGCAGCAGACTCTGTTTCTCCTTCTCCACTCAAAATGTCCTCTCATTTAACTCCCCACCGACCTTCTGTTATTTTGCTCCACTTTTAACCAGCTTTCTTGCCCAATGTGTCTCATCCTCTTCGTCCTTACATTTGTCACTATATCATTGCTGCAGAGGCTGAGATATGGAACCCTGGAACCAACCATCCCCATGAGGTTCAGGTCTGCCTCCAGATTTGGCTCAAACAGTAATCCCTGCTAATCAGCAGCCTTCCCAGCAATGCCCAGAAGTGTTGCTGGCATTACAGCAGCCAGCAAGTCCTCCTGCAAACAATTCATAATCTGTCTTTGCCTCTGGATAAAGTGTCTTTGTGGGGGGCTTTCAGTATATGCCGGACAGTGTGTCTTTATTAGAAGCTTGTATGTAGATGAGTGATTGGTCAGGACAGCTGAATTTACCCCTGAGCAAGCCACCCAGAATCCATCAATTAGGCTCATGTGTCACTCTCCTCAGTTGACCAGCGGTTCTTGTGGCATGACTGCATTACTCCACTTACTTGTTTCCTGTTTGTTCGCTGCAGTCTGAAGCCCGACCAGGAAATACACTCAGAGACATTAAGCTGCCCTTCTGAGAGTGGATAACTGGGACATGTCAGCTCAGGTCTGCACTACGTCAATGTGACTCGGTGTGAGCAGTGATGGAAATTCACAGCTTTGGTAACGAAACAAACGTCAGTTTAATGAAGCAAAGAAGAGGCTGATAGTGTCACTTTGGTAATTGAAGGGCATTTTTAAGCCATTTGCTGCACTTTCTAACATAAACCAGTGTCAGAGGAATAGTGGCTAATATTTCTAATCACATAAAAGTGACTTTGAAGTGAATTTGAAGAGAGCATAATGAAGACATGTTATATTATAGAGTGTTTATTCATTGCAAGACATTAAGTGATACTCGTGCCAGACGACAGAACAGCTAGAGAGCCACCGCCATAAATTTAAGTGAGAAAGTGACAGTGAGGTCACACTGACAGCGTTGAAGTCAGTAAAAAATATGGCTGCCAGATGGCTCATTAGCTAAACGTTTTCCTTTGCCTGACTCAGTCTTCCATTAAATCATCTCAAAGACGGATGCAGCAGAAGCCATTTACGTGCCAGACAGTTAACCACTGCAGGACCCATGTTTGAACCTATATGGTCCTGAATACGAGGAGATACTTTATGTTCCAAATATGTATTTCAACTGCAAATGATCCTGCAGTTTAACATTGTAACTGTCAATTAATGTGCAACCTGTCGTAAAAAATCCAACCGTCTAAAACAAAGTATATACATATGTATATTGGTATTATACATATTTCCATGTTCACTTATCTTTTCTTAATGTTTGTGTAACGCGTTATTGTTAGCTTCACATCTCTTTTAGTCCTTTAGGGCACTACCAGCAAAAAACAAGGTTAATTTAATTAAAAGTGAACTATTTAGTGAAGTACAAAATGTGCGAGTGTCTCACCTTCTAATTTGAAGGACTGAAGACGTGTGGACAAGTGTAAGGATGATTTACAGCTAATGAAAGGTCTTGTCTGCACCTGTACGATTTATGTGCATACATACATCTGTGCAGTCCATCTTAGCCGCCCGGCAGCCAATACCTCCTCCTCCTCCCTGCTTGCGACATGAGCATTTTCCCCCATAGGTCATAAGTTACAGCACAACTGCCAGCGAGCTCCTGATGAAAAGGTTGGAGGCAAGACATTTCATAACTTGCCCTTACATCAGTGAAAAACTCTTTTGCAGGGACATTTTGTTTGGACTTGGACAGAGGAATGGACATGTTCCTCAGTTGTGCACACTGTTTGGACTTCCCCTTAAAACATTGGCTGCTACTCACCACCAATCTCCCGGATGGGCACGGGCTCAGCAAGTGTACCAGGTTCACTGCGGCCACCGCGGTTTACAGCCACCACGCGCACATGCAGCAGGTCACCGGCTGTGAGATTCTTGATGCAGTAGCAGTTAGTTGGGGTCAGCTCCTCTTGAGCTACAACCCAGTCCGTTGCTGCAGGGGAACACAGTTTTTGTGTTAGTAAAGTATGTAGCTTTCAGTGCAGTTTTAACTTACATGTCATAATAGCTTGTTAAAGCTGCAACATGTGTCTTTACACACACATTCCCCCTGACAACTTTTTTTCCTTTTGAAAGTGTAAAACATCCTTTAAGGGGACATGTTAAATGGTTTATCGCCTGTCGACAAGTTTACAAACAACCTGACCATACACTTCGGCCTCCATGGTGAAACCTCAGAAGGCATGCGGTCATCTGAGCAAACGAGAACTTCTAAAAGTGGTGTGAGGAGATACAGTACATTGACAGCCGGTTAAATGCTTCCTGCCGTATACGGCCTGGACACAGCTATGAGTCCATCTGCCCTCTGACGCTCTGGGGACAGGTGCAGCCTCGCATACATACGCACACACACACACAGACTTACTTCCATCCTTGCAGTACTCGATGGTGTATCCGTCCAGGCCCGAGTCTCTGATGGTCTCTGGCGTGTTCCATTTAATGGTGAGGCTGGAGTCGGTCACATCGTCCACAGATACGTCCAGAGGAGCGCTGGTGGGGACTGAACAGTGCAGATTAGTTAAGGATTGAAGTGGACAGTAAGAGAAGCCGAAATGACACTGAAAATTCCTACATAGACTTCATTCTACAACATGTGTGTCGGACTAAAGCTTCTGATTATTTTCAATATCAATTAATCTGCAGATTATTGTCTCGATGAAACTATTTCTTTTTTACAAATTTCCTTAAGCCCAAGGGGACATTTTCAAATGTCTTGTACATTTATAAGACAATCTACACAATTGAGAAGGTGGTACAAATTCATTTTGGACATTTTTGCTAACCTATTATCAAAATAGTTGCAGAATATTATCTTGGACAATCGATTTATCAATAATTCAGAATGGTTTCCAGTAAAATGATGTGTGTTATAATTCTGCACAACCATTTCCATAATGAGTCGTCACCTGATGTACAACTGCAAAGATTAGTCGATGAATTGATTGACGGAAAATGATGTGCAGCTATTTTGATATCTAAATGATGGTTTCAGTCGTTATTAAAGCCAAAATATAAAATATTCGCTACTTCCAGCTTCTAAAAAAAGTAAGGAATTTAATACGAAAACGAAAGTGTTCACTTTGTCCTGGTCATAACCCTAGATTGGGTGTAGCAGGACCAAGCTAGCAGCAGAGTGTAAATGCTGGCGTTACCTGCAGGAGGTGGGGGCGTCGGGGCCTTTGGCGGCTCTTCAACGACAGCAGCTTCTGCTGGAGCAGCTAGCATCAAACAAGCAGGAAGTTAATGTTTTAGAGATAAAAAATATCCAGAGCATCTTTTGTGTAAAGTGACATTCCAACCTACCCAATCATTTCACTGGAAATTATATCAAGAGGTTCTGTTAAGAATCCACTATTACTCACATCTGGGGAAGCATGGTGGATGGCACTCTTTCAATGAAATTTTCAATAAATCAGTCATCACTGTTTGTATTTTGTGGTCGAGTAGTAATGTTTTTGTCTCTGTGGTGGTTTATGTTTACCGTCTGCGGGAGCATCTGCAGCAGGAGCAGCAGCATCGTCTTCAGCAGCGGGAGTAGCAGCTAGTGTTAGAATGCCATTAGGAAAGCCAGTTAGTGACTTACACTATGATATTACTCACGCTGGGATTCAATCAGTTTCAAGCTAATTTGATCATGATACACTCTCAAGATACACTGAAGCAAGCAGCAGAACGGAGCCGTGGGAACAAAACCTTCAGTATTCACAGTGACAAGAGCGGATTTATGAACCCAAAACTGACATATGTTGGAGACACTAAAACATTTGCACACAGCAGAAGACCATCACGTGTCCACAAAGTGAAACGTCATGGGTTGGTTAAACAGACAAAGAACTCAAAGAGGAAAATTTACACAAGTTGAACTTTACAAATGGAAATATCAGTAAACACAACGGATGATGAGCAAGTAAAACACACACACACACACACACACACACACACACACACACACACACACAGTGTGCACTTTTGCTGCACGTGTAAGTGTGTTGGAGTCATCAGACCAGAGACTAGGACTAAAGATTTGTTTTGAGGAGTAGTCACCCTGTGTTTGCACTGTTCACTCATCAAGTTTATCAATTTCCAGTAAAACTGTGTATCTTTGACTATGATAATACTTTTTTTCTTACTGACAGGTGTTTGATATTTAGCCTCTTGTTTATTTGAATTAGTTTTAGCTTGGTGTACCTAATAAACTGGCAACATAAAATGCTTCCAAAATCAAGTAACGTTTAATTAAAAGGCAGCAGTCCCTAAGATCAAGTAAGTTATTACTCCAAGTCAAACCTGTCCATGATCTAGCTAAGATTAGTAAACGTAGTTTAACAGTTAGCACTGCATGTCAGGAGAGATTTTCGTGGTTATCAAGGCGCCCTTAGTCCCAGGATACCTGGGGTGCCTCCTTCAGAAGCGGGGGTGTCCTCTGCTGGGGCTGCTTCTCCCTCGGTTGCGGGAGCTGCCTCAGTCGGAGCAGCTTCCACAGGTGCAGCATCCGCAGGTGGAGCCTCTACGGGGGCCGGTTCAGGCTCCGGGATGGGCTCAGGCGCCTTGGCTGGGGACTTCTTGATAGGTGCAGGTTTGCTTGGCATCGTGCTGACAGACGGCCAGTCCTCTGGATGAAAGAGCCAGGAGGGATCTTAAGTAATATATATAGGGTGAGGGCTGCTGGGCCTGGAGACAACTCCACCCATTCCCTGACTTTAATACCCCCCCTATTTCAGCCACATCCTCATCCATGTTTGGAGTACCTGTGACAACCCGGGCTTGTTTATATTAATAATAATTAATTAACACCGTTTTCTAACTTGTACAAACAATTACATCAACATTTAAGTAATACCAAATAACATTTTGTAATGACAAAAACGACCACATCCAAATAAACTGTCGATAGAGCCTAATAAATGATCATATACAGGAGTATTAGCGCCCCCTCGTGGATAACTGAATGTAAACACAGCCAAGACAGGTAGTGATGTGAAGAATGGCATGACTTTATTGTGTCCATTGCTCAATGTTTGACATATGGGATTTGATGTGTTTATAGAGACATGCCATACAACCATTATTAGGCCCCCTTTTAAGCCAAGTGCGCCTTCCCACTGGAGGAAGACAATAAAACCACCAAGGACGCCCGTTTTCTGCATACAGGGGCCATGTCTTGTCTTAGATCTCTACACGTTTTAGTGATTGTTGTCGCAGATGCACTGACTATTTACAGTGTTTACAATAGTGATGTCATGTACAAAAGAGAGAGAAACCTTTACAAATATTTGCATAATAAAAACAAATGTCTGCTCTTAATAAAAACAAGATGAAAAGAGGAAGATGTCCAGTTAATAAAAATCCCTCCCGTGGTAAGGTTAAGTGTGGTAGGTCCAATGGGAACACAGCAGGGATACATGCATCTACATTACATATCCATGCTAATATCTGTTCTTACACTGCTTCCAACTCTCAGGCAACTCCACAAAGATGTCAAGTCTTTCACACTTACATTTAAAATGGTGTCAAATCGCAGCCCAGCCATGATACGCATTGTGGTCTATTGCAGAGTTAACTGGCAAACTCAACATCTTAGCTATAACAGCCATGACTACCAGCCAAAGGTCAAAAATAATAACCCACTCTCCACCTAAATCTGGGCATCAAGGTGATGACATTAAAGTGACATCAGAGTAGGTGAGAGGAAGTGATGACGTTTCCTCTAATCGAGGTGTGGTAGATTAAAGCAGCTCGAAAGCAGCTTCAGGCCAATTGTGTTTCAGGCACAGATAGACTTTTAGGCATCGTGTCTCTACTTAACACCAGCACCCTGTTTGGACAGTAGAGGAACATCTGGACAGAATATGGCAGTCTGAGGTACTTCAGGGTAAAAGTTTCCTCTTCTTACACGTCTTTTCTCTCTTTCTTCCTTCATCACAAGGACAGTCAAGGTGTGAGCAATAAATACTCTCTGTAATCTAGTACGCGTACATATATTATGTGCAAACAAATGAAGGAAAGGAATAGGAGGAAGCCACTTAAAAATAAATTTCAACCTTTCTTATCCCCCAGCCCTTACTTTTACAGATACTCTTAAAACAATGCGCGAGAAGGAGCAAATGCAACGAGGAAGGAGATGCTTTTTTTTGTACAGATCATTATCACTTAATGGCAGTTCTTTTTTTACTGATGTTTTCCACTTCCGTGAATGAGTAATGATTAAGACAGCGAAGACAGAAGTGTTTCCTGCTGCTATCGATAATGGCATAGGTATACATGGGTGATAGCTGCTGTATACAGATGATCGCTGAAGATGACTCAGTATAAAATCCTACAAAAACAAGATTTTCAAAGCTGTATCCTCATCTATCACAAGAGAGTTTTAGGTTTTGAAACCGATATCTAAATACAGAATATACGCAAGCATAGCCCGAAATGTTAGGCCGTCTGGGCAGATTACAATACAGTATGTTTAGAAGGGTCAATGTCAGTTTCTGTGGAAACCAGTGGCTACCGAGTCCACCGATTAAGATATTTTCCTGACAGACTGATCCTAAAACCGATTCATTGATTTCCATTCATTATTCACCCACGCATGCTACTCTTACAGCTTCGTTGTTCTGATATTCAAGTCATGAATGACACAGTGGGTGAACTGAAGAGAAGAAAAACATTCAAGGCCATTTTCATAGCTCTGTTCTAAAGTGTGTTATGCTCTGCTGAGCACCTTTGATAAGTCAGAACACCAGGAGAGCACTGAGGCAGGAGTAGATGCTGCCATCTAGAGGAATTACTAATGAACTGCATGATTCCCACTAGACACAGTGACTGACACAGCCTCCTAAAGTCCAATTACCACAAGTAGAAAATAAAGTGCATTTTTGGCTGACGTCAAGTGATGAACTCACTTTAGAGGGAATCAGAGTTACGTCTGAGGTTAATTTCTTTATGAAATGAAGCACCAATAGTTTGTGGCGAAAGTTGTGGCAGCCAAGAGGAAAACAAAAGAAAACAATGGGCTTTGATCAATGGGATTATAGGTAATATTTTGCATCATACTATTCCGGTTACCATGCACTTGCAGATTTAACAACAACCCATCTGGAACAAATTGAGGGCAGAGAAGAGACAAGTCGACGTCTTTCCCTGACATGATCATCACAGCTTCTTATGAAAGCAGCTATCTGATAGCAGGGTAGAGCAAATCCTTCCTCCATAATCACTCTCCCCATATATCCTTTACATTTAGCTCTGTAGCTGCTCACTGAGCACACAGTTAAGTTAATTATTGAGTCTTTGAAGTCTCATTGGGACTGCACCCGCTGTGTCAGTCTCAAATAAAGAGTCCGTAGATTGACTGACAGTCGGATGTTATTCTCAAAGTGTAGCCTGCAGAGTGGGATCCAGACACCCTTCCCGCTCTGGAGACTCTATGTAGTTGGCCGACTCCTGGAGCTTCAGCAGCATGGCCATCTGGGTAGCAGGGAAAGACAGAGAGAAATGTTTGGTTTTACAGGGTTAGATTTAGCTTGGCATACACAGTATGTACTATTTCTTGAAATGGCAACTAAGGATCTTAACTCGACAAACATTTCTATGATTATTGAGATAATTGTTTGGCTTATGAAATGGGAGAAAATAGTGAACTGCCCATCATAATTTTCTAGAGCCCAAGCGACATCTTCAAATTTGTTGTGTGGTCCAAACAACGATCCCCGACAACAAGAAACAAGTAAATAATCACATTTGAGTGTCTGTTACCTGTCAACACTACATTTTTCAACCTAGCAGAGTATTAAGATTGTGGATGCAAATGAGCCCAGCTGCAGTTCATCTGTTTTGCATTAAGTGCTGCTAAATAAGATCTGATGCATTATTATATTGATGCATGTTAAGTGTTAATGTCTAGAAAAAATTAACTGCGTAGCTTTTATTTTATTTTACCTGTGCAAAACCTCAGTGGAGTATTTGAAAAAATATATCCTCTTGGTCTATAATCTAAATATTTCCCAATTCATTTTCTGTCGATAGACATCTGACCTGCATGCCTACCACGCATCCTCTCTGCCCTGAACTAGTCCCCCATCTCAACAGAAACCTTCACTCTTACCAATGGATCTGACTCCAGTGTGCTGGGTGGAGGTGTATCTTTGGGGGGCTTCTTCTCCTCATTGAGTGGACCTATGCTGGGGGGAGGTAGGTGAAAGAGCCTGGACTGGTCCTGCTGTGCGTTGGGCCATGGTAGAGTCCCCCTCACCCACTCCACTGGATCCTCCCATACTGCCTTCTGCCCATGCACCTGAGAGAGAATATAGACGAAGAGGTAATGGAATGAATGTCTTGTTGTTGTTAGCACTAATTTCACACTATGGAGGATATCTGTGTGCTCACCTTAATGCCGTCTTTGGCTCCCTCCTGCAGGTACGGTATGATTGAGTGGTTCCACAGGTCAATGAACCACTGCCTGAACTCTGCCACTGATACTGGGCATGATAGGAAGAAGCAGGGACCTGAAAGAAGGCAACATTTCATATTAACCAATCTCTTTTTCCCAATCCAATTATCCCCCCATGTTCCCTGTTTTCTGCTTTAACCCTGTCAGCTGTCTCTCACCTATGAGGAAGTCTGAAGTGCCGTGTTTCTCCAGGAAAGTGTGGAGGTGGTACCAGAGCTGAGGGATCCAGTCCAACACTCGGAGAAGAGCCTGGTGGCATGCAGAGTCCTGCTCCTTCTCCTGGTAGGCTTCCACAGCTTTACGGTGCAGGTACCTCAGCAGGAACCCGTTAGCCGGTTCCACGTTGTTGGAGAACATCACCATCCTGTCGTCATATGCAAAAAACGTTACTTTTACTCTATATGAAAGCTTCATTTTATATTTAAATGTGTTTCCAAATAAGAGGAGGCAAGGTAAACATTTTCTTTGTACTCGCCTGAAGCTAAGGTGTAGACTGTGGTTAGATGACATCTTCACAGGCTGATTGGTTGTCCCAATGATGTAAGGACTGAAACATCAACAGGGGATAATATGTACTTTCATGACATATTCAAGTGAAATTTAGTGAAATAGCGTAACTGTCTGAAGAGACTCACCATTTGTGATACTTGCAGGTGAGTGCTCCATTAACAAGCTCAGTGATGGCTGCTGAATCACTGATGTCATCTATAATAACAACCAGCGGTAGTTCTCCTCCACTCTCTCTGTCAATCTCATTTGCAAGATCGGACAGATACAACTGCAACTCCTGTTAAAGAAAGGACAGGTGAATTCATATGTTCTGTGTGCAGAGATCCACATTTGTATAGAAAAAGGACTTCAAGATAACGGTCTGACAAAAATCCAGTGTCATGCGTTACCTTCTGGGACTGATGATGCATGTTGAAGGTGACAGCAGCGCTGCGACCGAGGAGGCAGGTCTCATGGTCGGCCTCAGACGACTCAGTCCGGCTGCGCTGGAGAAGGAAGTGGGCCAGACGCTGAGCCAGATAAGTCTTTCCTGTCCCGCTTGGCCCAGACAGAACCAAACGCCTGTGCTTCAGCAGCAAGCTGATGTAGTGCAGCATCATCGGCTTAGGAATCAGAGTCTCAAACACCAGTGAGTCAACACATTTTTCTCTGAGACCTAGAGAGAGGCAGACACAAGGAAGAGAGAGAGAGCGGAGAAGCAATTGGATTTACATAATATTTACTATTAAATACTTGTGAACATGGTATGTGAAAAACATGGAAATGCTGATGCTTTTTCATGTTTTAACCCTTTATCTACAAATAGCGTGTCATTTCATATCAGAAGCAAAGCAATTGTTTTAAAATGTCCTACCATCTACACACAAACTGGTTTCTTTTAATTTCTCTCAGGTGGAAAAATGAAATTGAGTCTCTAGAGTGAGAAAAACCATCACAATATAGATTTTGTTACCTTTATGTTTTTGCCAAAGCTGAGTAATCATTACAAGGCAGTACAGTGTTGAGCGGCCAGGGACTGTTTTGAAAACTCTCCCTATTGGTGCATTCATGAGCACTATTGCATCTCTCCTCTCCCTCTGGTGGGAGGGACTAAGACTCAAGGAAAGGACGCAAGTGAGGGAAACGGGGATGCAATTAAGAGACTTGGGATGTACCCACTGTCATTCAACATTTCAGGGTTGACTGCCAAACAGGAACTCAAGAGTTGTTCCCAAAATCTCCATCTGTGATTATAGTTTGTCAGAACATCTTTAATACACTGTATTTTTGGGAGATCAAAGCATTCTGTAAAAGTTCAGTTTAACAAAGTGCTGAAATACTAAAATAAACCAGAGACAAGTGGCTGCTTAAAATATAGGAAATAAATCCAAATGAAAGTGGATTATACGCAATTTTAAGTTACTAGTATGGTTTCTAACATCAGTCGAGGACACTCACTAACCTTTCAAAGTGACAAGTATTTTAGCTGAACCACTGCTGAAACAACGATAAGGTGCGGCTTGAGGTTTGTCCCCTCCTATCACCCTCTGCACTCCCGGGCACAGCTGGAACATGTGCAGCGAATCACAGGTCAGACCCAGGCTGGCAGTCGGGTCCACTTGAGTTAGGTAGTCCTGGAGAAAAACAAAAAAAGAAAATAAGTAAGGACTGACCTATCAAAACACAGCTATACAGTATTTGTTAGAACCACTAATGTCTATGCAGTGAGACTTACCTTGAAAGTCTTAGATATCATAGAGTCGAGGGCGGGCCAGCTAGTGCTCGCACTGACCAGCACTGAGCCAAGGTAGAACTCCTGCTGCTGTTTACTGTCCTACAAAGACAGAGAGAGGGAATGAGTGCACAATCTCCCAGCTGCTCGATTTAATGCTGTTGACATTATTGGACATTGTGTCTATTAAAAGGTGTTCTGTGTTTACCTCTACTTGATCTCCGATGCGGACAAGCACGCGTGCACATTCCTCATCCCGCTGGGAAGACACACTTAACGCATCACCTGAAGACACGTCTGAAAGGATTGAAGGAAAAAAATGGATGAAAAGAGTATAGAAATATAATTTTTATGTCTACTGTGCATGTGCGTGAACTGAAAATAGGTGGAATTCCAAATGTGTCTCTTACCTGGATCTTTACAATCATTCAGACTGAGACTGAAGGACTTGGTGAGGGACATGCTCATCGGCTGCCTCAGTGAGGGCCCCAGGAGAGACGCCAGGCCTGAAGGCTGGGAGGTGGAAGAGGTGGGACCGGAGCCCGTTTTTAAATGGTCATTCTCCGCCTTAAGGTTCTCCACTGTTGACTAGGTCATAGGAAGGTAAACATTTGAAGTTATTTTAAGATATCATTTATACTTATACTTCAGGTATTGACTTTACTGAATATGCACACGCAGGTAAAACAAACCTGCATGCTGTTCATGGCTTCTCGGAGCTGCTCAAGATGATGTGCAGAGCTTAAGGCCTCCAGTCGGATGTCTGTCAGTTCTCTCTCTTTCACCCAGAGTTCTGAGCGTAGGTCCGATACCGCCGTTTCGTCATCGTCTCCCTCTTCAGTAGTCTCCATGATCCTGGAGGAGAACAATGCACTCATCAGGGCCAGGCCCCCATGAAGTGAAAACTGTCTAATTCACTATTGAGCTAAGAGGTGGAGTAAGGCGTTTGTGTACTTACACAGAAGAGGTAGCAGAGGCCGATGTTTTGAGGGATGAGAACTGGCTTTCTACTTCTTCTGCCCCCTCATGGAGCATCTTTGGGGAGTTGGGAGCTGAGGAGTCGGGTGTGGCAATTTCCTCAATGTCTGAGTATGTTTTGGAGCCTTTCTTAATGCTGAATGCCTTGTTGAAGGAGCTCCTCAGCTACACAGATAGAGAGGATGAGGGAGAAAGAGGGAGAGACAATTACGATTCATCGACGATTAAACCAATATTGAGTGGGTTACTGCATCAATTAATAAGAGAGGTAAAGAAAAAAGGCTTAGGATTGTTATCAAGATGACAAATGCTAAAAATTAAAGGTGGCGTTTGTCATCTTGGGTGACACTTATTGAATTTCTTGTCATGAGTAAAATGAGAAGATCGACACCACTCTCTCATGTCTGTCTGTAAAATATTAGTTTAGCTTAGCATAAGGGGGAAACAGCTAGCCCGGATAAAAGAAAATCTGCCCATCAGCACCTCTTAAAATCACCAACACACTTTCTGGTGTATTGTCATAACTGTGAGGTTGCTAGGACTGAGCCAGGCTAGCTGTTTCCTTTATGCTAAGCTAAGCTAAGCTAAGAGGCTTCATTTCAACAGACAGATATGAGAGTGATAGCAACTTTTGGGAAGATATAAGTGTATTTCCCAAAATGAGAAACTATTCCTTTAAGCTTAATTTTCTGCAAATAGATCAAAGAATAGTTAGTGAATGTTTTTGCAGATTAAGAACCTAGCTTTTGGGTCAGTTCACTTGGTAAAGTTGTACAAAATACACAACAAAGCATGGTTCAAATGAGCAGAAACACAATTTGAGAACTGCAATTTATAAACCTTGGTGATTAAACTGAGATCATCATGTTTGCTGATTGCCACTCAAACTGAATTACATCCTTTCAAATTTAATATTCATAGACACAGGGTGCCAATCAGTAGTTTAGGGAGGTCAATGAGCAGAGATCGAGGGTACTTGAAGATTGCGTTGCAGTTTTAGATGGTCTATAATGCTGTATGAAGCGTGCGTTCTTACCCAGCTCTTTTTCTTCTTCTTCTTGGCATCTTGGTCCTTCAAGCTGCCCACACTCGACATACTGGTCAGGCTGTTGAGACTGGAGATGCTCTCACATGAATTCTGACGTCGAATCCGCATGTCTGGTAAACAAGAAAACATCAAACATCAAAAGAGGCAAATGTGCAGACACGGTGTGCAGAGAAGACAGAAGAAGACAGAAAGATCAAGTGGTCCATCTCCAAACCATTCATGTTATCCGGGGTGTTTAAGGCTCCTTGTATGACGGCCTGGGCTTCGTCATTCCTGACCTTCAGAGCATCGATGGTTTCCCTCAGATCCAACAGCTCTGTGTCCTACACAAACAAATTGAATAAATGTCAGCAAGTTGGGGTGGGATAAATTGGTTTGTATCTGTTTCATCATTACCTCATTAATACCCACATTAGTTTAGTTATTTATTTTCCTATTTTAACTGTAACTTACCTCTATTTTAACTTTTTTACATTTATCTCACACCAATATTATTATATTTTTCTAAATTTCCCTTTTTCACATTTTATACAATTTGAAAATAATTTCTAATGCACTCGGACAATGACTATGTAGTATTACACTTCACATTGTATAATGACATATGAAACAAATAAAGATTTTTGATGAGATAGTTTGGTAAGTTTTTTAATGTTTAAAATAAAAACTGATATATTCCTATTCTTTTGGGGAGTGGTAGTATTGTCTGATGTTTTAGTTAAGCACTATAACTCAAACCCACACTACGAGCTCATACACCTGGCGGGCTTGATCCCCTCACAATGTTAAAGTACAAAGAGTTCAGAACAACAGAGACTCTCTGTGCTGCTTATTGTGTGCTAAAGTCGATCCCACTCCACTCTAAATAGAGCTGCCCGGCCCACCTCCACAAGGTTAAAGAGCCTGTGCTCCAGGCTGAGCTGCACAGGTCAATGCGCTGGCACGAACAACAAAGACTTTTTCTAGAGTGGTCTAGACGGACCTTTCAGTGAGAGCAGCAAGGCATGAAGCGCTGAGAGAGACTCCTCACATTTATGCACACACTGAACACTACCTTGGGCTCTGATCAATTTATACACCGCAAAACAGATACAAAGGCTGGAGAATGCAGGAATGGGATGTTTGGTGTGAGTGCACATGCAAGCTGTTTGCGCATTTCAGTCAGCCTAAAGCAAAGTTGTTTTTCATTAATCCTCTGTCCTCTTCCTCAAGTCACCCTGTGGGACTGCAGCCTTGGCCTCTAACCTACATTCAGCTCTTCACCGCAGGCGGTGATCAAAGACGTCTCACTCCATGTTAGCACAACGCTGCCTGCTCGGACTGCTCATGAGACTGCAATGCAGCTGGAATTCAGGTTTGTGATTGTTTGTGTTTGAAAGTTTGGATGTCACGTTACCTTCTGTTCCTGGGTTATTGACAGACTCTGCAGCCGAGTTGTCATCAGTTGCAAACTTTGCTCAAAGGCAGCCACCAGATTTGCCTGTTTGGAAAAGATGAAAGACAAAAGCAATAATTAATTTCGTTTAACAGGTAATTATTATTTTATGTATCCATATTAACAGTCTGTGTCAGCATCATTTACATGTAGACACTAACTAATAAAAATGTAATTACAGGAATAGATTCAATGGATTTCCTCTGCCCATTTATCACTTGTTTAGGAGATGCTAAAAGGACGAATCACACACACAGGCTGATCAGAATGTCCCCTGTGGAAAATTCTCCTCCTCCCGAATCTCTCACACACCTGAGCAAGAAGGGAAAATTGCTTTCCCCCCTCTTTCATAGAATGTAAAATACAGTATGACACTGCATACGGCACAGTCATTAATCCAGCACATAATCAGGTTGTGATCCATGCATCTGTTTTGCCTGTTCACTACCCTTGCATAATAAGGTCAAACAGTATGAAAAAATCTCTCTCACACACACACACACACACACACACACACACACACACACACACACACACTTGATTGATGTGTGCTGGATGAAACCATGCATAATGTATGAGCTGTATTGCTGCACTTGGACTAATGAAAGAACCTTGTAGAGTAGAGAGAAAGGGCAAGGTACCTCTGTGTGTATGTGTATGTGTGTATGTGTATGTGTGTGTGTGTATGTGTATGTGTGTGTGTGGTGTGTGTATGTGTGTGTGTGTGTGGTGTGTGTATGTGTATGTGTATGTGTGGTGTGTGTATGTGTATGTGTGTGTGTGTGTGTGTGTGTGTGGTGTGTGTATGTGTGTGTGTGTGTGTGTGTGTGTGTGTGCGAGCCAAAGCTAAGTGGCTTGGTGAGAGGTTCAGGAGAAGCATTATTCAGGCCCCACATGGATAAGAAATGTGCTGAGACAGCACAGAAATGATCTATGACTGATACACCACGGCTTGGATTTTAAATCTCTCTCTATGCATCTCTTTTCTATTTTACCCGAAGGGTAAATATCTTGCCTTGTGTGAGAAATAAAGCATTTGTGAAGGAACGCTGAGAGAGGATTTGATTTGCTGGCGATACTCAAATCTTTAAAAAAGGGTCATGAATATACAGTGTAGTTTTTATAAAAGGCTGAATACTTTTCTATAACAGCTGGCCACTGTAACTATTAAAAAACATTATTCAAAGTTGTCTATTTTCAGCTTCAGATTTTGGTGTAGTAGTGAGTATGTTTCGCAGCGCCCGGGTTCATGAGAAAATGTCACCCAATGCAACAGTGTGGCTCGTTGACGTGTTTTTAATATGTTTGGACAACACTAGAGCTCTATTTAACAGTGAACAGATAATGCTTTTTAGTAGGATCAAATCATTGCTGTTGTTGCTCTTTGAAAGGGATTATTTGAATTAGAAAATATAGAATGCCATCAGACTTTTCCTAAAAAAAGGTCTGGATCCTCTGACATGCAGAAAAAACATAATTGTAATAATAATAAATTGGCACACTAACATAAAATGAATAAAGTTTAATGTGCTATACAATTCTGTTTTTACATAAAGCAGTAAGAAATAAAAGAAAAAACAGTTGAAGGCACCCTGACTGCTGTCACTTGTTTAACACACGTGATGCCTTTACTATGTCGTCTGTCTTTTATTAGTATCAGTTACCTCTGCCTCAGGGTAGATGTCATTGAGGTGGACAGTTCATCTCGATGAATGACAAGTATTAGGGTGTAAAATTGGAGGGAGGGGCTACTACAAATGTGTTGTTGCCTCGAGGTGAAAGGCCGTATATTTAGTAGTTTTAATTATGGCGAATATCATTCAAATAGATTAGATTAGAGTGTTTATGCTTATGATTTCTTACCGGATACATTTTTTTTATTTGACTCTTTTTCTTACATTTTACTTACATTTTATGGTTGGCAGCCCCGGCCATCTTTTCGTTTGATTGTTTATTTAAAATATATTTTCCTTGTGAGGGACATATATGAGGGACATATATGAGAGGGAAAGATTAAATCCACTTGGGGATAGAAAGTTATTTATGTAAGAATATTTCTTAAAGACATTAAATTCAATTTGTATATTTTAAGAGGAAATTGTAAGACAAAGGAAAATACATTCTTCGGTTCATATACCTGTGGGCGCTGCCATTTATTAATGATTAGTAAGATAGAAGACAAACACGACATACGTTTGCTGTCAGCTGTGTCGTCAGATTAGACACCTTCTCCTGCGACGATTCCAGCTCCCTCCTCAGTTTACGGATTTGCTGTGAGGAAAAACAGATACGTTACACTAGAAAGAAAACAAAGTTTCTCAAGCTGACAATGGCTGACATTACACAAGTGACTTGGAGTGGATGTTGTTCATGAAAAAAATGACGGCTTGTTCTCCCACAGACAACAGAGATGAGAGCGATGGATGAATGGTCAGAAACAGAGACAGAAAAGAAGAAAGAGCAGGAAAGAACACACTTACCTCTCCCTGAATCCTTTCCTCAGCCTTTGTAAGCAGGGGGGATAAAAGTCAAGATGTTAGATAAGACAAAAGGAGAGGAGAGAAGAGGAGAGGAGACTAATATGATATATCTTCAATACCTTGGGAGAAAGTGTCTCTTTTTAAAGTTGGAAATGAGAGTAAAGCATCACTATACAGACAAACATCTACACCCACTTAAACATAGATACACCACAACACACACTGAAGTGTAGCTACCTGAGTCTGCATGCCGCCCACACTCACCGAGGAGTAGCTTGATGAGGCGTTAGACGCCAGAGAAAGAACGGACCCATGAACTGAAAAGAGATAATTAAGAGCAACAAAATAAACCAATTAGAAACTGAGTTGCACAACAACACTGGACAGTTTTCATACAACAGATATTGAAATAATTCAGAGGGCTTACCCTCATCGGGCTCCTTGTCCCTGAAGGATCCGGAGCGAACCATTCCCATGCTGCGGGGGCGTTCAGCCAATGAGAGGGTGCTGCCCAGCGGAGATGCTCCGTACAGCTCCAGAGAGGCATCGTGTGTTGGGATACTGTTGGAACGAGTCATCCTCGGAGGTCCGCCGACAGGGCTGGGTACTAGTAAGAGAGCAGAGGGGTCAGGGGTTAGCGATGTTATACATGAAATACATAATTAGTGTAGTGCTATTCTAGACAGTACTCTTTTCAGGGTGTGTCCATGGGTTTAAACTCACCCATACTGGTCTTAGAGGTGCGGGGTAAGGAGGTGGGCGAGGACAGCAGGGGAAGAGTGAGCGAGTCGGTGATACTGAGAATAGTATGAGAGTGTCTCCTCTCCCCTTTCTCCTTCCCTTCCTCCTCAACCTGGGAGGCCCCGCTGAAACTACACAAACAGAAGGCAAAGTCAGAATCACTAATAGAAAACAAAGAAACTTTCAGTCATTATAGATCTGTTGTTATGTATTAAAATCTGTTGATACGTAATAAAATGAATGTACAGTGTTGTATAAAAGTCTGAGGGCCTTAAGGAACATCATTTTAAATGCTAGCTTACAGTGAACACACAAAAAGTACCCAAAGTCAAATTAAAGAGTTATGAAAAGAAGTTTGGAAGTAGAATAAAAAAAATAACCTTTATTTTAAACCCCCTTTCATCTATAAGCAGGATATAAACATATAATACATTTTAATAACACATTAATATGTAGTTATGAACAGATATGAGGACATTTTTACAACAACTGTTTATTAAGGTAGAGTATTTTAAACTTCTCCTATGAAGAATTTTCAGTATTACGTGTGTTTGCTCACATGCAAACATGGTCATTTATTATCTGTATATATTACCGGCATCTAGTTATGGATGCTTCACAGGAGGAGTTGCTGAACTTGACGAAGGCCTTATATTTTTTAAATGTTTATAAACCGCTGTTAAACACTAAATGTGGAGGGTAAAATAAAGTATAACCAAGTGCCAATATCTTCCAACATGTGGAAAGACAAACAAAATGTTGGCAGTGGGACACAATGAGATACAATCTTGGGGTGGATCAAAGCAGGACTTTTAGAATACAAGTGACAGGGGCAATGAGGATAAACACAATCTGTCATTCACTGAGGATCTTTTCAATCTGTGTAAGTGCAATTAAAGAACTGTGCCATATTGCGTCAAACTATCAGTGCTGAGTATAAGAGCGTGCATGTGTGTGTGGAGCTGTATGAGTGTGTCCACTTACCATAAACCTTTCTTTGGCAGTGTGTTTCTGTCTCTCTGAGAACTGTGGAGATTAAACAATTACATCATTTAACCGGTGCTGCAGGGAGTTATTAAACTCTCAGGAACAGGCAGCAGGCACAAAGAAGCACAGTACGACTGGCAGACAGCTGGTGTCAGCCAGTAATTATGACTTCAGCCACTGGGGCCCGTACAACACCGATAATAATAGCCTGGAAATCACTCAGTCTCTGTGTGTGTGTGTGTGTGTGTGTGTGTGTGTGGGTGTATATATAGGTGGTCATGCATGCATGGGATTGCTCTTATTTGTTGCATTCGTTAAAAATGTAAATATGACTTTTAGCCTTCTCATTAAACCATATTATATAATCTGGGCAATATTTACTAACTCAACATTTATCTCATATGCTATCTTGTTGCAATTCAAGTCTCTGGCTTTCTGATTAAATCTCAAAGTAAAAGCTATCAAAGTCATATTCAGACAGGTTCAGTTTAGCCTACCACTAAAGTAATATGCTCAAGCATATTCTGATATTCTGAGTATATCCTTAAAAGGCCACAGACATCTCTAGCAGTCTGTGTTTTAATTTTGGGGGAATAATAATATCTCGTCTTTGAAGTTCTGAATAAGGGTTGTTTCTCTGCAATCAAAAAGTGTGAGCAGTATTTTGTCATCAAATACCAATTTAATCACCTTTCTATGTCCTCACTCAATAATGGGAGGGAAATGCATGATTGTAGCATAGAACAAAGTGAATAATGTATCAAAGAACTTCCCTGATCACTCCTGCCTTCCCTGAACATTGAATAATGATGGTGCAGTTCATAAGCAGCCCAGTAGGTGGAGTTACATAGCAGCATTACAACACATGAATGACAAAACATCTGCTTTAAGACATGTAGATCGGTGGGATGTGATTGGGTTTAAATAAATGTACAGTTGAAGATTATTGAATCTCACCTGTCTGTGAGAGATAAGGAGACTTTACTTCCAAGGTTCCAGCTGGCAGGAGGGCCTCTGTCTTCCTGTCTATCTTTGTGGCGGGACTCTAAGGTGGTGTAGCCTCTCACCACATTTTCCCTCTCCCTTGCCTTTTCCCTCTCTTGGGGCTCTGGGGCGAGACTCATCTGGAGCGGCAGCGACTCCATGCTGCGATGCAGCCCAGACAGACGAGGGTAAAGCAGGGGAGAGGTGCTCCCTCGGCTTCCTTGAACACCGAGAGAAGAGACCTGCCTGGGCCCCAACCCAGTACCTGAGCTTGGGAAGCAGGACGCAGAGTTCACATTGAGTAAAGGGGCGGGGCTGGGGGTCAGGCGGTGGCCAGTGGAGCTGCCTGCTGACCTGGCCAGGTCCTGGAGCTTAGAGTAGGGAGGAATCTTAGGTGGCAGAGAGTCCTCAATTCCCACCTCTAGGATGTTTGAGTTCAGCTTGTCAAGGTGGGCCATGGATGGAGGTTTTGCCAGGCTGCGCATTCCTGATAACCTAAAGACAAGAACAATGTTGAGGCAAATGCATATTAATACTTTGTTTTGTTTGTGAAAGAGTGCTGAAAAGTACTGGGAAATATCATATGGGATTTATGTGGTAGTATTTGAACCCTGGTACCTGTGTGTGTTGGTTGAGGGCAGATCCAAGCCTTTGCCACTGCTGGGAGGTCTCAGCCCCTGTAGCTTCCCTCCGTTCTCTGAGGGGGTCTGAGCAGGGCTGCCCTTCAGAGACCCACCTCCACACTCCGAGTCAGATACTACAGCTTTGGCTTTGGCCCTCTCTTTCTCTTTGTCTGTCTGATTGACAGGACTGGGGATCCCACGCCCACCTGCCTTACTCAACCCAGAACCAAGCCCCGAGGCGGGCTCTTTGAGTCTACCCTGTGGTGGTTTGATCAGCCCTGAGCCTGTGTCAATGGTGGTGCTCACTGGGCGAGCTGAGCTCGGCCGGGTTAGAGTCAGGGTGCTCGTCTTTGCTGGGCGAGGCAGAGAGCGGTACTGGAGAGACGTCCTGGCATTTGGAGATAGAAAACCACTCTGGTCGCAGCTCGAAACATCAAGACTAGTCTTACGTCCTCCACTGCCACCACCAGCCCCTGGTTTGACAGGAATACCTGACGTTTTGGGAATCTTCCCTACAGTTGCAGAGCCGCAGGCTATGGGAAAACCGGCATTGCTTGTGCCATTATTGGTAGCTGTGGTAGGCTTCTTAAAGCCAAAGTTTCCACCAGTTGAGGGCCTGACGAGGCCGGATGGAGGTTTACGTTGCTCACCAACACCGCTGCCATTTCTTAGGTCTTTACCGGCATCTGAGGAGGAGCGCTGAAGGCCAGAGGTCTTCAATGCTAACCGAGACTTATCCATTGGCCTGCCATCTGACTTCACTGAACCTAGAGAGGTAGAAAGGGGAAAAAAGAAGAAAAGAAAATCACTGATGAGTAGCTTGAACAGCTTCTGTTGGTGAGTGAGACTAACCAAGCCATATTAGGACATGATATCTTATCTGACCACCTACACGGTCTGACTGTCTGCTGATAAAGACAAATCCCTGTCTGAGCAGACAGACAGTGTGTAGACCAGATTCTCAGCTAGCCAGCTTCACCCTCACACACACTGTTATCATGTGGTTACTCCTCTTTTCCATCCTGATGAACTAAAACAGTTTTCTCTGGCTTTCCAGTAAGTACACAGAATGCAGAGTGCTGAGATTAACATGTGCGGCATGGCTGTGGAAAACTGGTGTTCACATTCACAGAGTGTGTCTGCGGGTACAAAGCGCATGAAACACCGAGTATAACTGAGTTCATCCACTCTTGAAACCTCTTTGGGGAAAGAGGTCAGAGTGAGAGACAGCCTGGGTGAACAGAGGTTGAAGGACATTTATGTGATTTTGTTCCCATCTGTACATTTCCCAGTTGGCAAATTAACTGGAGTCGTTTGGAAGTTATTATGAGAACAAAACTATTAGACACATGTGCACTGTATGCACCACCCACACAAGTGCGAGCCCACACTACCCAAGCACTTAATTTGTATCTAATGGGAGTTGTTATGGGAGGTTTATATACAAGGCATTAACAGAGTCAAAGAACTGCTGTTGAATGGGACCCACCGGCGTGCTGCCTTGGGACATCTGGAGTCACTTAAGGGTATTGAAAAAGCCCGCAAAATACACACGCATAAGGCCAGACATATATATATACCACACACACTCACAGTTCTCAGTGATTGGATCTTATAGGAATGTGACACTGACAACACGCTTATGCTTGGAGTTCTTTTGTAAATGTGAAAATTGGGTTTACATGTCAAGTCATAAAGTCAGTCCATCATATAACCGCAAGATTGCACGTTCAAAGAACATTAAGCTGCAGAAACACACACTGCAGACATAAGAGTGAGAAGCAAACCCACACACACTGTTAGAATCCAGGCGTGCGTATTCATTTTGACATGATTAAAACCTGATTTACTGACAACCACTGTTGAGACAGTAGAGCTCTCGGCTTGACACAGTGACATGTGTAGAAGACTCTGTGAATCACAACATGTCTCGACACAAGGAACCTGCATGTCTGAAGAGATGGACATCTGAAGACGCAGGCAGACAGGGAAAGCCTTTCCATAACATTTATAACTCTGGATGTTGAAGGAAAATGGCTCATTTATATTTCCCTTCCCTAAGTCTTCTTCTATTTAAGGCCACTGTGGTAGAAGGGAGATACTTATGGAATGATGTATCCACACACACCTCATATTCCCGTCTATCCTTCCTGAAGGTTTCGAGGGAGACGAGCCGCCTCATTCCAAGACCCCACATTGTCTCCCATCAACCATCACAATATAAACATGCATGTGCTTGTATTTGTGGTTGTTAAGATACAGTATCAGTGTTTAAGTGTGTGTATGTGAGAGGTATTTAAACATTTGTTGCAGAAAGGTGGCAAAATGTATCTGTAGGTGTGTGTCTGCACGAGTGCATGTGACAAAAAAAGAAACAGAGAGAGAGAGAGAGATACCAGATACATCAGTGCTGACAGAATGATGAATACCTGCACTGTGTCACACTTACAAACTACATTCTGCTTCCAGCAGGTACGCAATGTGCTTACACGTGAATGATAAGTGAATGATAAAGAAAATAAAACTAAATCAGTTTGATGATGTCTGACTGTGCCGTTAATGGACACTGTTGTCCCATAATGAAAAGTGAGGCTGTGCTGATAGCTGAATGTTTTTTTAACAAATTGTTGACGCTGGTTCCAAAGCTCTACCAACATCTCTGTAAACAAACCGAATAAAGTAATACTTCTTTGGAGTTATGTAAGTTATGTCCAAAGTACATCAAATGTAATTTGAATAAATGTTTAATGTTAAAGTGCTGTGTAGCGTTTACCGAATATTGAATCATTTTCTGTACATAACTATACAATTAGTTGAAAAGAACCAAATATTTACATAGTGCATATTACAGTATATACTATACAGTAAGTATACACTATAGAGCTGCTTTTCTATCCCTGTAAATGTTGCTTCTTCAAAGATCTAACACTCTCTGTATCTCCTACAATGCCGAAAACATGTAGACACACAATACACACATTTACACACAATCCTGCCAAACCTCAGCAATGAACTGATCTCCAGCACGAGCGACAGAGACCTCTCCAACTGTCTAAGAACGTCTGCTGCTGATTTGGTGAAATTCATGAGCTCCTCCACAGTGATGATCATTAGAGTCTGAAACTCTGTGGCAGATTGAATAGGCTTGAAAGCAGATTCATACTGTTCCCATTAATAACAATAACAGCCTGGCACAGAGATCCAGCCTGTGGTTTAACACACTTGTTTGGCATATCTGTCATTTCAACAGCTGGCAATGCAAACACAGGACAGTCCCACAGAAAGAGAACTCTTTACACAGACACTGTGTATCTAGCATGGCACACAACAGCACAACCAATATCCATTTGTTTTGGTTGTCTATATGTGTGTATGTCTGTGTGTGTGTGAACGCTTACGTAAACGGCACACAGATGGTGAGCTTAAAAAGCAGCTGCACAATCGGCACTATTGTGCACTTTGTGTGTGAGTGAGAGTGTGTGTGTGTGCGTGCTAAGTGCGATGGGTGACACTCTGTAAGGCTGGCACAATCTCAGACGTGTCTGCAATTACAAACGCACACTATTGCAAACACACACTGTCTCTGGTCCAGTTGTTTTGGGTACAAGGCCTTTATTTAACGGCTATAAATTCTCTCTGTCCGGCACAAAAATAAAGGTTGCATAGGAAAGGCTGGACCAACAGGAAGAAAAAAAAAGAAAAAAACACTGTTACTCAGTGTGTGTTTGCGTGTGTGTGCGTGTGTGTGTGTGTGTGTGGTTGGCTGGCAGGAAGGGAGTGGGTGGTGATGGGCGTTTGATACATGGCACCAGTTTCTAAAGGCCGGGAGGGTGGGCTGCAGCTGTGGATGAATGTGTGGGACAAAGACAGAGAGTGTGTCTGTGACTGTGTGCGGGTCTGAGACTACCCAAGAGAAGGGAATATTAAAAGACAGTCAATGTGTCAGTCTGTTCAGGTTATGAAACCAATCCAAGTATAGCTATATATATTACATCTTACTGTGTGTGTGTGTGTGTTTCTCCTCTTACCTGCCACTTTCAGCCCACTCTGAGAGGTGTGTGTTATCGGGGAGGTGACTCCTACAGGTGGGTTTCTTCCTTTCTTCAACACGTTTCCTTGACCCAGGGTCTGAGGTTTCTTCAGTTCGCCCTTCCCTCCTTCGAGCCCCACCCCCTGTGTCCGCGTCTTTTTCCATTTATTGGCTGATTCGGACTTGAGACTTCCTGTATCGTAGACACCGCTGCCCTGGCTCTTGCGGATGGGTTTGGTGTCGTCACTGTCCCATGACAGACCACTCTCCACCAGAGATCTCTTCTCTGCATCTGTACGCATCTAGAATGAGAAAGACAGACACTCTGTCAAGAAAATGTTGAAGAATTGAGTGCGTGAGATCTGACTTCCAGAAAATGGAGCCAAAAATGATTTGTATGTCTATGGTACGTTGTTTGCTTTCTAGGCATGGTTTTACTTGCCTATCTAAGGAGGCCCACCTCAGTATATTTTGACTGCCTAAAAAGCAAAGAAAGAAAGAAGCAAAGCTTTTCTGATCTCATATAAAAAGTGTATTTGGCTTTTATTGGTAAGTTAGTCAAATGGAAAGATTCCTACACACTAGTATCAGAGCTGTAAGGCTTTATTAGTGACATTTTGTTCAAAAAGGAGGACTTAAAGTTTATCTGGATCTTTATCAGCCCTGAGGTGTTGGTGGAAGTACAAACGACTACCTGAAAGCTTGAGTGATAGGCGCACTTTAGATAAAGGTTGTAGAAGTGCTTTGGATGAAATCCTAACAGCTATTATGCTGTGTCAACGGATCTATCTCTGTGACAACTGAACAAACTCCCTGCCCTGATTAAGACCATGTGGTATGGTTAAAAGTTTTGAAAAAAGCTATTAAGTGGCCCTTGTGTTAGGATTTTTTCTAAAGATTATTTTTGGGTTCTTTTTGCCTATATTTTATAATGACAGTCAGGAAAGTTGAAGAGAGCGATTTAGACATTTTAGCCACTTTTAGCACAAGGAAAATAGTCAAATGAAGAGCTGCAGACACCTCCTGCAGTTTTGGTTGATATTAAAACTCAGGTACTTTATATACATTATTAAAAGTGAAAGCAATATGCCTTTTTGTGTGCCACTTCTAAGATTATAATAAAATAAAAACTTTAGGTATTGTACTCCAATTATGTAATCTTCCAAACTCCACCCAAATGCTACAACTTTCTGTAACTAAAATAATCTATTTTCTCTTGGGTGATTCACTTCCTGACATCCCTTAACATTATCCATGTTACAGAGTTAGCTTGGAACACTGGGCAGAATGAGCCAATGGAACAACTCACTGGATCATTTAAATTCAAAAATGTTGTGTGTGCCTTGAAATCTCTACTTATGGTCATCTTTGGCCGCAGCTTGAAAAAAGGCATTTGAGGAGGTGTGTGTACTCAGACAGAGCCTCAGACTCTGCCTCATCTTCTGAGAAGAAAAACATGTCCAACCCAGTCAACCCCAAAAACACGCTCTCTGATGTCTCATCTCTCCAGTTGTATGCTCCAGTTGAACACTTCAAAAGAGAGAGAAGAAACTGCCCAACACACACACATACTGTATGTATGCATGTACACACACAGCTCAGGCACAGAGACTCACACACACTGAGCTACGTTGGAGAAAATAGACAACACACCTAAACAAAATCCAATAATGAAGAATGAATGTCAAATGTTAAATTAAAGGAAATGTGAGGTAATTACTTAGACATGGTCTTCTGTGTGTGTATGTGGTGAATAAATATATACGTGTACTGACACAAATCAGGCGCTACTCGGTCTACAAGTCAACCTTTATTAGATTTAGCTACTTTCATAAATACACATAATGCACAATCCCTGCGTAAGTGTGTGAGAGGCTAGTTTTAACAGAGACAGATTATTCTCTCCCTGTAGGAGACTGACAGTTACACAATGCATCAGGGTGCATGTGTGTGTGTGTGTGTGTGTGTGTGTGTATGCGTGCGTGTATCTGCCAGTTCAGGACATTGCATCCAGCGGTTCTCATGAGGACTCATATGCTGAATTCCATTTTTATTAAAACCAATAGACCCCATGGACAGGTTCACATCACATGAGGGGGAGGTATGAGTAAGTGTGTGTGTGTGTGTGTGTGTGTGTGTGTGTGTGTGTGTGTGTGTG